GTCTCTTAGACATATGCAAAATTTCCAATCAAGTTGTACGAAAAAAAGAGTCATGCTCTATTTACATATGAAAATTTCATTTTTCTTTTTAAGTAGTAATATTCTGTCATTAGGAAGTAGGCTACAAAATCTTCAGAATTCCTTATCAACAATCTGAATTTATTCCACAAAAGAATTTTATTTTTAATTTTCTCTTTTCACTACTTTCCTAAAATATTAATAATCTCCAACTCAACATTTTCTATCTTAAAAAACATAAAATATTAACAAAGTGCATGTGCCACCTTCCTTTTGTTTCTTTAATTTTCAACCACCATTAGTTACTTGTTTTCTTTTCTTGCTGTATAGACGTGCTACTCAGTAGAAGTAGAATATTATCCATACATGTAATTTAAAATTTTCTAGTACCCACATTTTAAAAAGTAAAAACAGGTGAAAATAATCTTAATATACTTTATTTACTTTACTCAATATATCCAGTTCTATTAGAGAGTAGAATTGTGGGTCTGGGAAGGGAGGATGGGAGGATGAGGAGAGGTTGGTTAATGGATACAACATTACAACTACATAGGAAGAAAAAGTTCTGGTGTTCTGCAGCGCTATAGGGGAACATGTTTAATTGTAATTTATTGTATATTTTCAAAAAGCTAGAAATGACAATTCTGAATGTTCACAACACAAAGAAAGGGTAAAGTATGAGTGATGAATATGATAATTACCCTGATTCAATCATTATATATTGTTTACACATTGAAAAATCACTATATTCCATAAATATGTACGATTATTATATGTCAGCTAAAAATAAAAAGGTCAGAGAAGCAAAAAAAAATCGTAAAGAAAAAATATATACTATATATTCAGTTCTGACTATTAAACCTTAAAACACACTTTCTAAATTAAAAAAAGAAAAATTGGATTTCAGAACATTTAAAGGGTTCACTGTGCTACTTCTTAAGTATCAATATATAAATATATTGCATACTGATACATACAAATATGATACATAGGTATGCACGTGTGTGTGTATAGAAAGACACAGAATACACACACACACACACACACACACACGCGTGCGCGCGCACACATATAGAGCATGCGCAAGCACGAGGGCTGTAGTTTGGATATGTTGTGCGTTTGGCCTCACCGAGAGTCATGGTCTTGTGATCCTCAATGTTGGAGGCCAGGCCCGTGGGAGGTGTTTGGATCTTAGAGGACAGACAGATCCCTCATAAATGGCTTGGTGCTGTTCTCTGGATAGTGAGTGATTTCTTACTTTTAGTTCCTCAAAGAACTGGTTGTTGGAAGAGCCTGGCACCTCCTCTCTCTCCATGTGGTCTGCACATACAGGCTTCCCTTTGCCTTCTGCCACGAGTGGAAGCTTCTAGAGCCCTGATCAGAAGCAAATGTTGGTAGCCATGCTTCTTGTACAGAAGCAGAACTGTGAGCCAAATAAACCTCTTTTCTTTATAAACTGCTCAGCCTCAAGTATTCCTTTATAGCAACACAAATGGACTCAGACATACGTATATATGTATAATTCTTCATAGCCACACTATCATTACAAAATAACTTAAAAGGAGAGACAAGGTGTCTTTCCTTTTCTGTAATGACCATTCTTATTAAATTTTAGGAAATTTTACTAGGATGGAGGAGAAGTTAGGTAACCCATCTCTCAACACATTGTCAAGAGGGCATGGCTTAGGTTTAGAAAATTGAGTATCCTCTCTAAGATTTTGTATGTTGAGTGAGGAGGCAGGGTTAGTTTATAATTTATTTTAAGGCTGCTGCATATAGCAGTGGACTTTTATTTAAGTCCATAGCAAACTAATAATGACACAAATCTTTCAACAACCTTGAGAGTCAGGTTTATGGTTTTATGGTTTTCAAAAGAATTTTAGTATTGGGAGCCAGAGATTGTTTTTCCACTACTCTTCACAATTTTTTGGGTGGAGGTTTGGAAAATATACTTATTTTCATAAGTTTTTTAAAATTTATGTTAGCATGTATAAGTTTTTTATTTTTATGTGAGATAAATTAATACTTTTTCCCTATTTTTAATTTCTCATATAATAAATATTTGAGATCCTTATTAATTTTTAAGACTCTAAAGATGTCTAAAAAACAAAATATTTGGGAATACTGGTCTAAAGAAATTCCTTTATTTATCTTTTTCTTCCAGAAGTCCCACACACACACACACACAAAATTTCTAGGAAGAATAATGAAGAATTAGAATGACTTCTTCCTGATGTATCATTAATAGCCTGGGGAGACATGACAGTAACTGTCCTTGAGTTTGTATTTTTGAAGCTGTGCCTATTTTTTTAGGTACTTTATTGTCTCCAAGTTTCTAGATTCATACTTACTGCATTTTATGAATCCAAGTAGATTGCCTTTTTTAATTCTTTTTGGATGTATGGCAATTGAAAAGAAATGGCAGAATAAATGTTCTGAGACAAATATAATTGAGATTATTCAAAACTTTTTTGAGGCCAATTTGTATCCAGTTATAAATTAGTATCTTTAACAAATTTAGGGGTATACTTCTTATTTCTACAAAAATAAACTATAGGATGATACATCTTCTATAATTCTAACCATTTTATATTATTGTATCACAGAAAGAATGTGTCAATAAATTAATTCTAAAGTGCAACAGTCATAAAATTTAGTGAGGAAAGAAGATAACATTGCCATACCAATAAAGTTGAGGAGCAATTATTTGCCTTTTGATGCCAGTTGGAGCTCTGGGAACAGAGGGAATGCAAAATCTAAATAAAGCTGTGTGAACTAATTAAAAAAGCTAAATTGGCTCGCATAAATGAAATTCTAGAGGAATTTGCAAGGGGTCATCATTTGGAAATTGCTACAAGAATATTATAATGGATGCAAAACATGCAGCAGGGATGGGGGTGAGTGGTGACGATACTCTCTCTTTGGGCCTCGGCAGTGGCCTTGTCTCTAAATCTGTAATGGGCAGAAAGAGGACCAAATGAATAGCTGCAAACAAGGAATAAGAGCAAATGTTAGCCTCATAGTTATGAGATTTTCCAGCAATGCTTTCTGCTTTGATCTCCCAACAGAGTACAAAGAGATTCAAAAGGAGGCATGACTGAAGCACCCAAGAAATAAGTGAGGGTTAGATCACTATCTTCTTAAAGACCTCAGCTAGAGTTCTGCTCATTCCATCTTCCATTCTACACCACACTTGTTTTTCTTCCAGAGTGCTCTTCCCACATCTGCCTTTGCAGAAGACAAAAACAGTAACAATCTGAATCATATTAAAATTAATTTTAGGTTTTAGTATCAGCAGCACAGAATTGGGACTACAAGACATGATATAGCCATCAAAGTTAGCCCATCCTTCTGGTATGCATGTAGAACCCAACTGCCCATGACATCTTACAAGTAATTAAAATGTTGGCACCTAAGTCAGTGTTTCTCAAAGTGGGATCCTCAGGATACCTACATAAGTATTTCTAATGCTTTATTGTGGCACAGCTATTAACAGTAAATCTGAATTCCTACTGAATCAGAATCCCTGAGGGTGGGGCCGGGAATCCACATTATAACAAGATACCCGAGCAATTCTTAAACATACTAAAGTTTGTAAACTACTGTTTAAATCTTCCTTGATAGCCCGGATAACGGCACTCATTGAATTCAACAAATAATACCAAAAGACAAAATGATTATATCCTTCAACTGACATTTACCAGTCTCAAAAACAATGGATAGATAACTAAAATGCTGGGTTCTTCTGCCCCAAACAATAGAACAACCCAAAACAATAGAAGAACCTTCATTAAGTTGTGTTTTTGGGTTTTCTCCCCCAAATGGAATGTATATATACTTCTCTAAATTTTGGCATGCAGACTTTGAGAAAAAGATTGGCAAGCACATGGTTAATTTGGAAAATGACCCCAGGGAATATTTCCCCAGAGTGGAGAAGGGAAGACGGAAAAGAAAGGGAAGAAACATAGCCCATCAAGAGGCGTCCTCAAACTAGTGGGCCACATGCAGGCTGCCTAGCACATTTATCCATCCCTCCGGGTGTTTTTGCTGCCACTGCCTGTCCTGCTTAGCAGCTGACTCATCCCAGGCTCACAGTGCGCAGTCTCCAACGATCTGAGGGACAGTGAACTGGCCCCCTGTTTAAAAAGTTTGAGGAACCCTACCATAAAGGGTGAATTCTGAAGCCAGTTACCATGGTAGATGACTAGAGTTTAATTCCACTTGAGAAATTCTGGTAGTCAATATAGGCCATTGCCCTCAGAATTACCCCAATGGAAGAGAAAAGAAGTTGGGATGTTTATAACCTAGATTCCTTTCAGTCATTGATTAATGCCTGCTCCTAGGGGACGGTAACTCCAGCACGTCCAGCCTGTCCCCTGGCATGGTCACAGTGTGCTCCAGCTGCTGGGGAAAGCCCTCGGTGAGCAGTTAAGGGGGCTGTAGTTGGAAGATAGACCGTTGGGCTCTGACTTGGTTAGGGCAAGGAGGCGTGGGCAGGACTCTGGCAGCCTCCACTCTAACCCACACATTGAAAGTGACGTTCACTCCTAAAGCCAAACTTTTGGTATTTCTATACTACCGCTGACACATGCCATGCAAGTAAGTAATCCTTAATCCCTTCGGTGCGGCGCTCACCGGCCGGGACGCCCGCCCACCCGGCACTCACAGCGCGCACGGAGTCTGCGCTGCGCGGGGACCACGGGTGGGTCTTGCTCTTGTGTGATGAGGACAGCTTGAAGCACTGAAAGCTCGTTTTACTTTACAGGCAGCTTTACTGTAATGTAAATCAGAATAGGTAGCATACACATATATGTTTTCATTACATTATTTTTAAATGTTCACAATGTTATTTTAATAAATGAAAAATTAGAAAAGTCATATCAGGCTGTCGGCTACAGTCCCTGTGCGCGTTCCTCTGTGGCTGTCGGCTACAGTCATCGCTGGTACCAAAGTGGTTTATATACCAAGTAATATTTTCAAAAATCTGTGTTGCAAATTCAGACTTCTTGTAATTGAAGACTGTGTCTTATGTGAAGAAACTTCTTTATGAAATGATCAGGGCTATGAGTGTTTTCCCAGGTCCATCCTGTTGAACTACCAGGATTCTTGGTCGGGGACCATTGTGCCATCTTTCCATGCCTTAGTTTAGGGGATATTTTTTGGCTATTGAAAAAAATTTACCATGGAAAATTTCAAATCTATAGAAAGTACATAGACTAAAACTCCCTGGACTGATGATCATCCAACTTCAACACTTTTCAACCCTTGACCAATCTTATTTTATCTATATCACCACCCACCTAATCCCTACTGGATTATTTTACAGCAAATCACAAACATGATATAATTTATGCATAAATACTTTGGTATGTATCTCTAAAAGATAAGGATTTTAAAAATAACCAGAATGTTTTTACCTTACAAAAAATCCAACAAACATTACTTAATATCATTAAATAATTATTAAAATTTCCAATAGTCTCATCAATTCCATATTATTTGACAATGATCTCATCAATTTCATAATCAGTATTATTGTATATGTTTCTCAAGCTTCTCTAATTGTTTATGCCTCCATCTCTTATTTTTCTTGTATTATATTTGGATAAAAAAAGGAAAAAAACTGAGTCATCTGCCCCGAGATTTCCCACAACCTGAGATGTTGCAAAATCTATCTCTGTTGTGTCGTTTACCATGCTTCTCTATGTTCTGTGTGCCTTGTGAATTGGTGAATGGGCAGTAGGACCTACAGAATTGCCAATGCAATTTTTCTTTTGAATAAAGTTGGTATTGTGTTCTTTGAGGAGGCATATATTTATCTATTCTGATGTAAGCAACTGTTGATAATGAATTCTTAGATTCATTTAATTCATTAGAAGTTGCAAATGGCAATATTCTAATTCTAGCATTGTTCTTCCTTTATTAAGTGAAATACTACTAAAAAGACAAAACTTACTATTTAGTTATCTAGTGGTACAATATGCATAAAAATAGGACAAATGGTTCTTCCCTTTTAACTCATTTTTGATTATCCAGAGATTTTGAAAGATGATTGAGCAGTAGTACCATTGTCTATGCTCTTCTTTGGAGGTCCTTGCACGGTAAAGCTAATTGAAGTAATCCAAACATGGAAGCTTATTCTTACCAGAAGCAATCACAATTTCTGCTATGCAATCCCTAATCACATCACTAGTATTAATATTTCAGCTATATATTAGGACCCAAGGTTATGGCTGTGATAAGAAGTTATATTTTTATAATTTACTTTTTATTCATTAAGTTACATTTATTGAAATTTTGTGGGATTTTTGTATTTTTATTTATTGAACTTTTAAACAAGAAGTTGTACTTATATATATACACACACACATATATATATACATATGTATGTATATATGTATATGTGTATATATATGATCCAAAAGTCCCTAGGAATTATGTGTGTATACACACACACACACACACACACACACACAATTCCTAGACATCTGGAATTTTTGTTATATTATATATGAATTATTTGTGAATTGTGGGAAATTTTTGCTTTGTATTCTAAAAGGGTTCATTGTGGTTGAATTTGGGGAAAAAACCTGCTAAGCATGTTTCTTTTACTCTGCTTATGCAGTCATTTTCTATATGGTTTTGGCTTCAGCTATGGTTTGTTGTCCTTTGCTGTTTGTATGGTGCCCCTTTTCTTCTTAGGTTGTTCATTAATGACACAGCAATATCCGTCATCAAGAGTCCTACATTGTAATTCATAGTCTTCTCTCAGGGCTGCTACAATATCTGTGAACCTTTCACAAAACATTCAGCTCTGCTAATAAGCACTTCTTCACCTGTAAGAAGAGAGGCATTGGTCTAGAGCAGAGGGTGCAAACCATAGCCTACAGGCCAAATCCAGGCTGCCACCTATTTTTTTTATGGCCTACAAATTAAGAATGATTTTTACATTTTAAAGTAGTTTTACATAGTGAAATGGTTACATTTCAAATGTTATACAAGCACCTACATAATAGCCTCAATTTTGCCACTTTGCCTGCAAAACCTGGAATATTTAACATTTAGCTCTTTTTAGAAAATTTTACCAATCCCTTACTGCAGTGATAATTTTCAAACTACTTTCAGTAGCAGAATTTTAAAAAAGAGAAAAAAAATTGTGTTATAAACCTTGCTGCTTAAAACAAATAAATATATATTTATTTAAATTAATTTAAAAGTTTGATCATTACTAAAAAATTCAATCAGGAAAAATGAGGCTGCTTTAATGAACATTATAGACTCAAGGAAGGAACAATTCTGACATAGAGGACTATAGATGACAATTATAGTCTTAGAAGTATTCAGCCTACAATTTATTCCTACAGATTTTTTTGTTGGATTAGTTCAAAACTAAAATCCTGTTTGAAGTGTATAAGTGATTATCAATAGCAGCAATTTTTTAACTGATTTGTAGTCTCACAATACTCTGAAATTAAACTGATCCAAATTCTTAAAAGAGAAGTAGAAAAATTTTATTTTACTTACAACATCAAGAGATAGCTCTCATAATCGAAGTTCAGCAATCAGGCAAGAACCACAAGGAACCTGGAAAAAGAGATAATAAAGCCGTGTATGTTTTATCACTTTCCATGTTTTCTTGTCGCTGCACCACTGAGGAACAGGCATGGGGCAGATGAGTCTGCTGCTATAATTTCATGTGGGTGGACATACACAAGCTTGGATTTTACAGAGAGCAGTGAAGAACAACCTTCTTGTTTAAGGATTCCTTAACAAAATGTTAAGTATATGCACAAATATGACAATTGAAGGTTTATTCTGAAATCGAAGCAGAAACAAGGTAATTTAAAATAACAATGGGATTAAAGATAGTATAAACTGGAATTCTGTTTTATAAGAGATTAGATTAGAAAACAAAATGAAAATTAGATTGAGTAAAAATTACCTATGAAAAGCCCTTCTCTGCCTATATAGTAGATTATACATAGTCTTGGATACACATCTTTCTGTGACATATTTCATGACATTTAGGTTTGAGGACTGCTGAGCCAAATGAAGGGAAAGAATATATTCAGCTGTGTAGACATCTGCCTTTAAGACAACCTGTCAAACCTTTGCAGTGACTAGAGCATGGGTAGAGAATTCTAAAATGCTCTTTGCATTTAGGGTTTAACTTCTATTGAAATACTTTAGCTATGCAAGTTGTTGTGTGGATTAAGTGAGTTAAACAAGACGTACACCACCAACATATAGTCTAGAACACAGAAAATACTTAAAAAATATTTCCTATATTTGAATATGACTCAAATACACAGACACATACACTCGCACACAAATTTAAATTAAAAAATCTGAGAACTTGCTTTGATCTAAGATTTGCTTTTTGACTCCACCCATCCTCTAGTTCCCTATTCATTTATTCAGCAAAGACTCACTGAGGACATTCTATGTGGCAGTCTTCTCTGCACTAGGAATTTGTCACTAAATATAGCAAACGAGGTTTCCTTGCTTTTGTCTTAGGAAGCAAACACACTTGTTGAAACTGACAGAAAATAAAATGAAACACATTATCAAATTGTATGTAAGACTCGGAAAAAAATCTGTGAAAACTTAAGACATGGACTGGGGTAAAGAACTAGGGGAAGGGAGACAATTTTTACATATGGTGGTTAGGAAAGGTGTCGCTCAGAAGGGAACACATGAGCAAATATCTGAAGGAGGTGAGGACGCGACCCAGCGATGCCTGTGGAAGGAGCTGTCCAGGCACGGGGCAGCGGGTGCCAGTGTTCTGGGAGCGAGGAGGCTGGACATGCTGGAGGTGGGCACAAGGGGAGCGGGCCCAGACAGGAGGTGAGCAAGGTGCGCGTGTGCCCCGTGGCTTCTGGTGGCCTTCCCTGGACTGCAGTGGGAAGCCCTACAGTGGATTGAGTAGAGCAGGGGTGTGACCTCGCCTAAGTTTTGACACACATTCCTCCGGAACAGGCCTCCTGGAGTAACATCTTACATGAAAGTTAGATTCTCAAATTAAGTTTTAAGTTACACGTGTTTGGTATTCCTTCACAATGAAAAACTTTCTGGTTTACCTGCTATTTTTCATTCGTGTTAAAAATAGTTAAAAACACTGTTTTAAGAGGGAATTCAAATGAAACATTTCTAGAACCCCTAAAGCCACCCATCCTATGGACCCACAGAACATAAGCTGATGTCTCCTGAGTTAGATGAACTTAAAGACTCTTCTAGTTCCAACATTCTGTGTACCCCTTAGTTTCAGGATGTGAGGCAAGTTGGCCTGACTTTTCCTGTCCAGCAGTGGTATGGATGCCTGACCTCTTTAGTTTGTTCTCTAGCTCTTTTTAAAAACGTATTCTTCTTTTCCTGCTAATAGCATCTCGTGTCCTTCATCTAGCTGTTGTTTAGGGATCCTGCCGGCATCCACTTTGGGCATTATCTCCAACTCAGTGGAGGTGAGACGTATTTGCTTAGAAGCACTTCAGGATGGCTAGAGTTGATGAGAGTTTCTTTTCACTTCCTGTGTTATTTTGGAGATAACATTAATGAAACTGTGGATGATTTACACTGCAGATGGTGGTTATATATGTGTGACATATATATATATATATATATATATATATATATTTTTTTTTTAGATAATAGTTTTGGTTTATCTTCAGTGTTTCTCCCTCTTCTTCCTATTTCAAGCTGGTAGCCAGGACATTTGTATTTACTTGCTCCTGGGCTTTTTGCAGAGCTGAAGACAGCAGCCATTCCTATCTATCGAGAAAGTACTGGCTCACGGATGAGATTGTTCGGGCTGTCCCAGCAAGTGAAGAGAGAATAGACAGGGGAAGAGATACTTTGAGTGAGATGACATTTCTAGTACCTACGATAGAGACCAAGAGTTGTGGGTCCCACAGTCATTGGTGGCTCGAATCCCCCTAGGTGGCAGCCTCCAGGGAGTTTGGATCCCAGAAACAGTGGTCGTAGCTTCAACAAAATCCAGGACACCCAATAGAAGAAGAGCAGAGAGCCACTAGACCGGAAGGCTCCATGCATAGAGGAGTGATGGATGTTTTATCAGAAACCACTGTGGACTCATAATTTTAGGAGCATTCCACATGCTCCTTGATGCTTGATGCTCTGCACAACCTTGAGGCTTTAGGCAGCCCTGATGGGGAGGTGTACCCCAGAAAAGCCTCAGATTTAATTTCTTACTATGCCCTCCAAATAGAGAACTGGAGAGGGACTTAAGATGAATTTTTTAAAAAAAAGGTTACATGGCATGTATACATATTGAATATATAGACCAAGATTTATAGAATCCATAATCCACCCTTTTCTCAGGCCTTAATGACCTAAATTTAAAAAACAATAACTTTTTTCCCCAGTGACACTTCCTTTTTACATAAAATATGAATCAAGTGCTTGCTGTTGCTTCAAGTTCTTGTAACTTCTGAACTTATTTCATTAAACATGATTCTAAGCAATCACATTTATTTGCTTGAAGAATGTGAATAAAGCTTTCATTCGTCCAATAGAGATTTTCCGCTCTTTGAGTTGATACCCTCAGGATATTGCAAGTTAGAGTTAGGATGCATAGGATATTAGATTATTTTTTAAAGATTAATTATCACCAAAGTACTAAATCACGTGAATGTGTGATTTCACCCATTTGAATATATTTAATCCTTAAAAATCGATGCTGAGATTTGATGCCATCACATTTAGGGCTAGACATGTGAATTTTGTACATTATTCCTAAAATAGCGGTGCAGTTAGATATGTAATCTATCTTTAACCACTTCGGTACCAGCCTCGACCGTAGTCGACAGCCACAGATGAACGTGCACAGCCCGGCGTCCACTGTAGTCACAGCCGTGTTATGAAGGCACACAGCTGAGTGCAGACTTTATAATTCTGAATTGACTTTTCTAATTTTTCATTTATCAAAATAAAATTATGAGCATTTAAAAATAACGCAATGAAAACATATATGTGTGTGTTACCTGTTCTGATTTACGTTACAAGGAAAGCTGCCCGTGAAGTGAAGCGAGCTCTCAGTGCTTCCAGCTGTCCTCGTCACACGAGAGCAAACCGCGGTCCACGCGCAGCGCAGACTCCGTGCGCGCCGTGCGTGCCGGGAGGGCGGGCGTCGCGCCGTGCGTGCCGGGCGGGTGGGCGTCGCGCCGTGCGTGCCAGGTGGGGAGGCGTCCCGCCGTGCGTGCCGTGCGTGCCGGGAGGGCGGGCGTCGCGCCGTGCGTGCCGGTGGGCGGGCGTCGCGCCGGGAGCGCCGCACAGAAGGGGTTAATGGCCATCGCGCCCCCACGCCCCCATTTTTGCCTCAGCCTTCTTCAGACATCTCTTCTACGGTAATCTTGTTCCGTGTTTGTGGTTTAGGTGAGGCTAACGCTTGTTTATAGCTGTCTTAAAGCGCTGACCATAATCCAAATTTAGGCATATGACCCAGACAAGGCTAATCATAACCTTCGGTGGGAAAAATTGCCAGAGATAATATGAAAGGTGCTCTCACTTTCCCGTGATCTCTAGCTGCAAGGACCTCATGAGCCTAGAGCTGCCGAGGACATCATTTTATTTCATAGTCATATGGAGGCAGAGAATGAAGCCGCACGGATAGCAAGAGGAAGACCCTGCTGTTGTGTAAGCACCTGAATGCAGCGATGTTTGGAAACCCACTACTAGATGTTTCAGTTGTGTGTGTGATTTATGCCTTATTTCATAGGATGGTTTTTGATGGGCTTCTATTAGTCTTTCACTAAAACTCAGTTAAGTGTGCTTTAACACCTCATGTAATCACGTCCCAGCTCTTTCACTTGCCAGCTGTGTGACCTTAGATAAATTACTTTAACCTTTTGTGCCTCAGCTTCCTCCTCTGTAAAGGCATAATAACCATATCAACCTCTTTCACTGGAGCGTATACATTGAGAGAGAGGGAGAGAGCTGTGCATGTGACACATTACCTTGTCTGGCCCACGAGAAGTGATTAATAAATACTAGCTATCATTATTATACTAAATAATGTGCACACTAAAAATATTGCCTGGTTAAGAATAGATGCATTTAAAACAAGCAAGTAATACTACAGAAATTAAAAAATAATATTTAAGCAAAGTAGTAGAGAAAATATAGGACAGGGAAATTAAATGGAGCTCAAAGAACGGTGAAGAAATTCTTAGTAAAAAATAGGAACACAAAAAAGACATAAATCCTTGCATTTCGATGCCACCAGAAGCACAAAATCCAGGAAGCAGAAGCCGGCAGCCAGCACCCAGACACTCTGCTTGTTTTGTTTTTTAAATGGAATCTTTGATTCTGGCACTAAAACAAAAACTCTATGGATAGCACCAAACCAGCAGATATTCTAAATTGGCAGAATTTTTGTTAGTTGTTTCAGTACTTTAGTCGTAAATTTTCCTTAACTTTTTTTCTAAGAGTAGTGTTAACAGAATTATATAAAACTTGAATACTAAGTTTCCAGTTTCTGGAAATTTCACACACATAGAGCAGACATTTCTACAGACATGTTGTAACAGATATTTAATGAAATGCCATTCCAATCTGGGGCTTTTAAT